GACCCAAAACGTTAACTCTGATTTCTCTCCACAGATGCTGCCAGACCTGCTGAGCTTTTCCAGCAATTTGTCTTTGTTTACTAGATTAATCCCTGGAATGAGAGGATTGCCTCATGAGGAAAGGCTAGGCGCACTGGGCCTGTATCATCTGGGGTTTCGAAGTGTCAGAGGTGACTTAATAGAAACATATGTGATTCTGAGTGGATTTGGCTGGGTGGATGTTGCAAGGATGTTTCCCCTTTTGGGAGAATCTAGAGCAGTTTACAAATAAAACATGTAAATTAAAACATAGATGATGAAACATTTCTCTCTCAGAGGTTTGTGAGTCTTTGGTCTTTGCGGGTCTCTAGTCCCTTGCTTGTATATTCATGTGGATTTTTGATTGATGAGGGGTTCAATTGAGGTTGGGGGTGCTGGCAGACCGTCAAAATAATGGGATTGAAACCACAGTCAGATCAGCCATTTCTTACTGAATGGTGGAGCAGGCTCAAAAGGCCAAATGACATTCTTCTGCTCCTATTTCCCTTACATTCCATTTGAACTTTAAGCCCAAGTGTATCAGTTCGGCTGTTGCTTCATTCTGTCTCATTTCTTTAATGTTGTTGTGGCTTTGTTTGTTCCACCCTTTCACAGGCCCAGATCCAGATGGTTCATGAGAAGTTGGAAAATGTGCGCGCAATGTTTGAGCAGCGACAATTGTCCCTGAGGAAACTGGTTGTCAAACAGGACCGTCCTGTTCAACCAGTAGCGCCACGGCCAGAAACCTCTGCTTTATCGTTAAAGAGCCCTTTCTACTCACCAAAACAGGGTAAACATCCAGCTGGGTCAAAATGTTGGCTTGTAACACAATCACAAAGGGTAACAAAGAGGGGGCAGCATCTCAATCAAAGAATAGCATGAAAACTTTCTTAGTCTGAATTTCTATAGCTAGCGAAATGATTGTGTAGAGACACATGCTTGTTGGGGGTGCTAGTGTCAATACAGGGAAGAAAGTGATGTCCTGCCTTTCTATAGCATCCCTTTCACAAACCGCCTTACAGGGGGGTCTCTGATTTACCAAAGTCTGACTTAAAAATGCTCACACTTGCAAACGTGATCCCATACAGGGGTTTCGTTTTAAAGACCTGACAAACAAATATGGATCTCTCTCCCACCGCAACTCTCTCGTAATCTCTTCGGCCTTGAAACTGCTCGACCATGCCCTGAAACAAACCAGGTACTACAGCCACATCACCTTTCTTCGTACCTGTCCGTCCTCCCTGGACTGACCTATCCCCTCCCTAACTCCCCACCTACACTCACCTTTACTGGCTCCAACCCCACCTCTTTGACCTGTCTGTCTCCTCTCCATCTATCTTGTCCTCTATCCACCTTCTATCCGCCTCCCCCTCTCTCCCTATTTATTTCAGAACCCCCTTCCCCTCCCCCATTTCTGATGAAGGGTCTAGGCCCGAAACGTCAGCCTTCCTGCTCCTCTGATGCTGCTTGGCCTGCTGTGAGCTCTGCACCTTGTTGTCTCTTAAACAAATATTTCTTGTGCTTACAAAATGCTGCTTTATATTGTCCTGCATTGTGTTCCAATTTGCATACAAATGAACCAGGGAATGGACTTTGAAATAGGGCTCGTTCACAACCCAGGAACTGTCAGTGTAATAGATTAATATGTTATTATTTAGTCGTCACTGTAACTTGGGAAATCTGGCAGCTATGTTGTGCAAAGAAAGCTCTCACAAACAGCTACATTATAAGGAGCAGGTGATCAGTTCCTCAGACCACAGGGGGAGAGCTGCCCAGCTCTTATTCTTATGGAGTCCACCCCAGAGAACGAACGGGGTGGGGTACCTGTTCAGCATTAATTCGGAAGGTGGTACCTCCAACACTGCTGTCTTCCACCAGTGCTACACTGAAGAATCAGCCGAGGTCTTTGATTTTTTTTGAGCCAGGAGATACCCTGAACCTCAACAAACATTACCTTTAAAACTGGCCACCCACACTTCCCATTTCCTGTCGGGGGTGGGGTGTGTGTGGGGGCTGGATTAGGAGTCAGGTCAATGCTCACTTAAGACCCTAAGGGACTGCCAGTTCCCAAGGTGAGTTCTATGGAGAGCTGGACTTGAGTGATAATGCTGTAATCAGAACTGATGAAAAATGTGAAACCTCTATCCCACTCACATCCCTGTACTGCCATACCCTCCATTTGCCCCATGAAAGCCAATCTATACCCCTCAACCCTTCCTCTTGGCCTTTTATACATCCTATGTCTGCCTACCATCCTGCAAAGCCTCCTTATCTCCACTGCCAGCCTATATCCCTCTACCCATCCCTGTGGCCCCTATGCCACTCTATGCCCAATAATCTCCATAGCCCTTTATAGCCTCTATTTCAACTCAGACCTCCTACCCACCACCTTTGTCCTTCCTTCTCCATGCCAACGCACCATGTATCCACCATGAGCAAACCTTGAGAGCCATGTTGACAGTGTCCATTGATGATGTCATGGTTAGAAAGAAATCTTATACATTGAAATTCCTTCAACTAAACCCTTATGAAAACAAACATCAAGTACTTAACCCCTTTCATAAACAAATATTTCAATTTTATAAGCATTTGGAGCTGTCTATCAAAATGCTCGCTTGATAGGCACCACATTGTGAAAATTATAGTTTGGGAAATCAATTGTCTGCAGCAATACAAAATAGCTGATGTTAACAGGACACTCTGAAATACTTAGCCTTATTTTTGCCCCCACAGATATTTTGGACAGTTCTTTGGTCGCTTTGGTAGTCTTAGTGAATTTCTGTGCTTTGTATATGCAAGCCTTCCTTTTCACATTCTCCAAGGATGTCTTAACTGCAACCCCCCCTGCAGATGCCCCAGGTTAATGTTCTGGGGACATGGGGTTGAATACCACCATATCCAAAGATGAAATTTAAATTTGAAGTCTGGAATTAAAAGCTAGTCGAGTGGTGACCATGTAACCATTGTCATTAAAAACGCACCTGATTTACTAATATCCTTCAGGGGAAGGGGTTCAGTTAGCTGGACGGTTGGTTTGCTATACAGAGTAATGCCAACATCATGGGTTCAATTCCCACACCGGCTCAGGTCACCATGAAGGAGCTGTCTTCTCAACCCTGCCCCTCGATTGAGGCATGGTGACCCTCAGGGTAAAATCACCACCAGTCATATCTCTCTCTTTTGCTCTCTCTTGCACTCGCGCTCTCTGTCTCTCTGATGATAGAGAAACCTTCAGAGAAGGAAAACAACCATCCTTACCTGGTCTGGTCTACATGTGAATCCAGGGGATTTATCTATCTTTATGCATTTTAAGACACCCAATACCTCCTCCTCTGTAATATGAACACTTTTCAAGATATTGCAGTTTATTTCTCCAAGTTCTCTATCTTCCATATCCTTCTCCACAGTAAACAGTGATGTGAAATGCTTGTTTATTATGCCACCCGTCTCATCTAGACTGCCTTGCTGATCTTTAAGGGGCCCTATTCTGTCCCTAGTTACTTTTTTGTTCTTAATGTATTGTATAATCTCTTTGCATTCTCCTTAACCATACTCCAAAATGCTACACCTCACATTTATCTTAATTAAACTCCATCTGCCACTCCTTGGCCCATCTGATCAAGGTCCCATTGTACTCTGAGGTAAACTTCTTCACTGTCCACTAATATGAACGTACGAACAAGGGACTCGAGTAGGTCACCCAGCCCTTTAAGCCTGCTCCCCCATTCAATAACATGATGGCTGGTCTAGTTTTAACCTCAACTCTACATTCCTGCACATCCCCGATAATCTTTCGTTCCCCTTGGTCATCAAGAATCTATCTCCCTCTCCCTTAAAAATTTTTAAAGATTCTGCACTCGGTACCTTTTGAGGAAGGGAATTCCAAAGGTGCTAAAAACTCGGAGAGAAAAAAAATGTTTCCTCATTTCTGTTTGAAATTGGTGACCCCTTATTTTGAACAGTGACCGCTAGCTCCAGATTCTCCCACAACAGGAAACATATTTGCAACATCCACCCACTCAGATCCCCTCAGGACCTTCTATGTTTTAATTCAGTCACCTCTGACATTTCTAAACTCCAGAGGATACACGCATCAGACAATCGTTCATTCCAAGTATTAACCTGATAAACCTTATCTTAACTGGTTCCAATGCATTAACATCCTTCCATAAGTACAATGACTACTGCATTATACAGTACTCCAGGTGCGGTGTCACCGATGCCCTGTATAACTGAAGCATATTCTCCCTACTCTTTCATTCAGTTCCCCTTGGAATAATCTCTCGTCCCTGCACACTAGTCTTCAATGATTCATGCACGATGAAACCCAGATCTCTCTCATACCCAAACGTTGACTGAGCTGATTTGAATTCTAGTCTGATTTTTTTTTTTACCTGATTTCACATCAATTAACTATTCATTGTTATCGTTTATGTTCACACTTAGACATTGATAGGTTGCCCCTACATAATGTTAATGCCAGAAACAGAAATAGAAATTGCTGGAAAGGTTCAGCAGGTCTGGCAGCCTCTGTGGAAGGATATCAGAGTTAACGTTTCATATCGAGTGACCCTTCCTCAGAGTTGAACCATAGTCACTTGGGTTTCAGGGTAAGGGGGATGTTGATGGGAAGGGTATGGGGTTAAGGGTGTGTGGGTGGAGATGGTGCGGAGTTGAGGGATGAGGCTGGTGTGAGGAATGGCATTAGGGGAGAAGGGCGAGAGTGGGGAAGTCTGGGTGAGAGGGTTTGATTGAGGGAGGGAAGACAAGTCTTTGCTCAATAGTTTTTTTTTAAATGGTGTTTGTTTACTTTGAAGCAGTGGATTCGAGTTCTGGATCGAAATTCCCATTTGATATTTCCCTGTATGGAAAAAGAAGTTCCAGAAAACCGCAGAATGCAAAGAAGGTAATTTGTGGCATAACAACAAGAACACCGATGAAATAAAAACCGAAAGAACAGCAGATGCTGTAAATCAGGAGCAAAAACAGAAGTTGCTGGAAAAGCTCAGCAGGTCTGGCAGCATCTGTGAAGAAAAAATCAGAGTTACCATTTCGGGTCTGGTGTCCCTTCCTCAGAACGGGAAGACAGATGAGTTTAGGATGTAGGAAGAGATAGAAGGAACTGCAGATACTGGAGAATCTGAGATAACAAGGTGTAGAGCTGGATGAACACAGCAGGCCAAGCAGCATCAGAGGAGCAGGAA